TTAGTAGAGACGGGGTTTCACCATGTGGACCAGGATGGTCTCGATCTCTTGACCTCGTGATCCACCCGCCTCGGCCTCCCAAAGTGCTGGGATTACAGGCTTGAGCCACCGCGCCCGGCCGGGTTTCTTAAACATAATTCTAAAGACAATATGTAACCTATGAGTAAAATGTACTTAGAAAAAGATTTTTTTTTTTTTGAGATGGGGTTTCACTCTTGTTGCCCAGGATGGAGTGTGATGGTGCAATCTCAGCTCACCACAACCTCCGCCTCCCGGGTTCAAGTGATTCTCCTGCCTTAGCTTCCTGAGTAGCTGGGATTACAGGCATGCGCCACCATGCCCAGCTAATTTTGTCTTTTTAGTAGAGATGGGGTTTCTCCATGTTGGTCAGGCTAGTCTCAAACTCCCGACCTCAGGTGATCCACCTGCCTTGGCCTCCCAAAGTGCTGGGATTACAGGCATGAACCACTGCACCCGGCCTAGAAAATGATTTTTAAGAAACTTCCTCTAAAAAAAGTATTTTTGTGCAATTTAGAAAGTACTGTTATTAAAATAAGAGAATGCTTTATGTTTCTTTTTTCTTTTTTTTTTTTTTTTTTTGAGGCAGAGTCTTACTCTGTCACCCAGGCTGGAGTACAATGGTGTGATCTCAGCTCACTGCAACAGCGTCTGCCAGGTTCAAGTGATTTTCATGCCTCAGCCTCCCAAGTAGCTATGATTACAGGTGGTGCGCCACCACACCCAGCTAACTTTTGTATTTTTAGTAGAAACGAAGTTTCACCATATTGCCCAGGCTGGTCTCGAACTTCTGAACTTAGGCGATCTGCCCGCCTTGACCTCCCAAAGTACTGGGATTTCACACATGAGCTACCATGCCCAGCCGAGAATGCTTTATATTTATTTTGGCTAATGTGATAAAATCTGTGTATAAGCTAAGGTGAAAAAGCACATTACTGACTGCTTTAATTGTATACATACTGCCTAGTTAACTTTTATTTTGAGATAGAGTCTTACTTTATTTCCCATGCTGGAGTGCAGTGGGTACAATCACAGTTCACTGCAGCCTGGTCCAAGGGATCCTCCCACCTCAGCCCCCCAGGTAGCTGAGACCACAGGCAGGCGCCATCACACTGGGCTTGCTTATGTATGTATGTATGTATGTATGTATGTATGTATGTATGTATTTGGTAGAGATGGAGTCTCCTTATGTTGTCCAGGCTGCTAACTGTAAATTTTCAAACAATTTTTATGCAGCCATAAAAAAGAACAATTATGTCCTTTGTAGCAACATGGCTGGAGGCCATTTATCCTAAACAAACTAATGCAGAAACAGAAAACCAGATATTACATGTTCTCACTTATAAGTGGGAGCTAAATCTTGGGTTCATACAAACATGAAGATGGGAACAGTAGGCACTGAGGACTCCAAAAGGAGGGAGGGAGAAAGGGGAGCAAGAGCTGAAAAACTTCCTGTTGGATACTGTGCTCACTGCTTGGGTGATGGGATCAAAAGAAGCCCAAACCTCAGCACCATACAATATACCCTTATAACAAAACTGTGCATGTACTCCCTGACTCTAAAATAAAAATGGGAAATTATAATAATTTTTAAAGTTTTGGGGCTGGGTATGATAATTCATACCTGTAATCTCAGCACGTTGGAAGGCCAAGGCAGGAAGATCACTTGAAGCCAGGAGTTTGAGACCAGACTGGGCAACATAGTGAGATCCCCCCATCTCTACAAAAAAAAAAAAAAGCCAGGCATGGTGGCATATGCCTGTATTCCCAGCTACTAGGGAGGCTGGGACGAGAGGATCACTTGAGTGCAGGAGTTCAGTGCTGTAGTAGGCTGTGATTTCACTACTACACCCCAGCCTAGGTAATAGAGTGAGACCATCTCTAAAAAGTAACAAAAATTTTGAAAAGGTTTTTAAAGATTTTGACGGGTAGAACTTAATAAAAGAGTTGTGGCATGGTGGCTCAGACTTATAATTTCAGCTCTTTGGGAGGCTGAGGCAGAAGCATCACTTGAACTAGGAGTCCAAGACCAGTCTGGGCAACATAGCAAGACCCCATCTCTTAAAAAAAAAAAAAAAAAAAGCCAGATGTGGTGGTACACACCTGTGATCCCAACTACTCAGGAGGCCAAAGTGGAAGGATCCCTTGAGCTGGGAGGTCATGCCACTGCACTCAGCTTAGGCAACAGAACGAGACCCTGTCTTAAAAAAAAAAAAAATTGTTGTAATATACTTTTTAAAATGTTCCTGAAGAAAGTACTGAATGTGGACTGGGCATGGTGGCTCACAACTATAATCCCAGCACTTTGGGAGGCCAAGGCAGGCGGATCACCTGAGGTAAGGGGTTCAAGACCAGCCTGGTCAACATGGCAAAACTCCGTCTCTACTAAAAATACAAAAATTAGCTGGACATAGTGGTGGGCACCTGGGAAGCTGAAGTAGTACTGAATATGGGGCAAGCTCAGGCTCTTTATTTCTCTTCTGTGTGGTGTAAAAAAAATCCATCTTCTCTGAGTTTGGAGACTGCATGGAAATACTGAGGACTCCATTTTGAGGAAGCTCTGTTAATCTAAAATATGATCATCAACTTGAGTCTTCTGGATGACAGACTAACGTAGAAAATGTTATCTCTTTAATAAAGTGCACTGTCTTAGAATTTTAAAAGACACGCTAAAAAAGAAAGATTATTTCTACTGGTCTGACTTTAATTTTTATTTTTTGGCAGAGGTTTCCTCTATCATAAAAAAGAAACCAAATCAAGCTAAAAAAGGCGTGAGTATTTCGTACTTTATATATAAAATATCTGGTAGTTAAGCTTTAAAACTAAAAAGCCGCTTTGTCATTTTAATTTTATTCTTTTCAACCATCTTATAATAAATGTGGCTTTGATATAAGGAGTCTATATTTTGTTCAGAGAGATTAATGTTATACTTAGTGAATTTTTTTCTAGAATGATTATTTAACATTTTTTCTATGACAAAATTCTGAAAAAAAATTAACAAAGTTCCCCTGGGGATTTCTCTCCTGCTCGTGTGGTTCAATAAGCAATGACGCCTCGTGAGGCTTAGAGGGTAGTCCTCTGGTGAGCTTTCAGATACAGTGATGTGTTGCAGAGCACTAGCTCTGGAGGCAGGTGCAGGGTTTGAATCCTGGCCTTGCCACTTATTGGCTATGTGATCCTGGTCACGTTACTTAACTTCTATGAGCTTTATTTTCCTCAGCCCTCTGTATCCAGGGCTTCTGCATTCGTGGATTTAACCAACTGCAGATCAGAAATATTTGGGGGAAAAAAAAATAGACCAAACGTAGTGACTCACACCTGTAATCCCAGCACTTTGGGAGGCCGAGGCAGGTGGATCACATGAGCCCCAGAGTTCGAGACCAGCCTGGGCAACATGATGAAATCCCGTCTCCATAAAAAATACAAAAAGTAGCCGGGTTTGGTGGCCTATGCCTATAGTTTTAGCTACTCAAGAGACTAATGTGGGAGGATTGCTTTATCTCAGGAGGCAGGGGTTGCAGTGAGCCGAGATTATGCTACTATACTCCAGCCTGGGCAACAGCTTGAGACCCTGTCTCAAAAAAAGTAAAAAATAAAAAGTAACAGTACAACGGTAAAAATAATACAAATGAAAACACAGAAGTAGCACTATTTCGTAGCATGTACATTGTTTAGGTATAAAAGTGATCTAGAGATGATTGAAAGTATACTAGAGGATATGCATTGGTTAAATGCAAATACTACACCATTTTATATAAGGGACTTGATCATTGCAGATTTTGTCATATACAGGATCCTGAAACCAATCCCCCCATGCTGAGGGACGCCTATAATAATACTAACTTCACAGAGTTGTGAGGACTAAGCCACAGAACAAGTATAAAGTGCTCGTCACAGTGCCTGGCAGGTCCTTACCCTCAGGGAATGTTAGTTGTAGTTACAAAAGCTTTCCGACAGCTTGCGTAGACTATAGTCTTGTGCATCTTCTAGCTCGGGGCCAAAAAAGGAAGTTTGGGAGCTCAGAAACTGGCAAACACATGCTTTAATGAAATTGAAAAACAAGCTCAAGCTGTGGATAAAATGAAGGAGCAGGAAGACCTGGCCAAGGCAGCACCTAAAGAAGAATCAGTGTAAGTTCCATTTCATTATATTAATACATTTTCAGGAAATAAAACTATTATAGAACTCCAATATTTGCTTTCCAAATGCCATGTATTTTTGTGGGGAGGGAGGGAAGGGTACTGCAGAATTTAGTTTTATGAAAACTGATATTGCATTGTCATATGGATTGGAAGGGAAAGAGATGAAACTGTAAGCTGTAAAGGTTGAAGCTATAAGGGCAGGACTGGGGTGACATCAGTGAGAAGGGAAAGACAGAGATGCATCGCATTATTAGAGTTAGAGAAATGCAAATTAGAGCCACAATAAGATACCACTATGTACCCTCTACGGCAGCTAGAATAAAAAAGCCAGGGCCCAGAGCAGAGGCTCATGCCTGTAATCCCAGCACTTTGGGAGGCTGTGGCGGGCAGATCACCTGAGATTGGGAGTTCGAGACCAGCCTCGCCAAAATGGAGAAACCCCGTCTCTACTAAAAATACAAAAATTAGCTGGGCGTGGTGGTGGGCGCGCCTATAATCCCAGCTTCTCGGGAGGCTGAGGCAGGATAATTGCTTGAACCTGGGAGGTGGAGGTTGCAGTGAGCCAAGATCACGCCATCGCACTGCAGCCTGGGCAACAAGAACAAAACTTCATCTAAAAAAAAAAAAAGGCAGTAACAGCTGTTGGCCAGGATGTCAAATGTTGGCTAGGATGTAGAGAAATTTGAACCCTCATACATTGCTCATGGCAATGTGAAATGGTGCCACTATTGTGAAAAACAGTTTGGCAGTCCTTCAAAAAGTTAAATGTAAAGTTTCCATGTGACCCAGCAAGTCTACTCCTAAGTATATACTCAAGAGAAATAAAAACATACACCTATGCAACCACACAAAAACTTGCACATGAATTGAATGTTCATAGTGGCATTAATCCTAATAACTAAAAAGTAGAAACAACTCAAATGTCTACCAACTGATAAATGATAAACAAAATGTGGTATAGTCCATACAGTGGACTATTACCCAGCCACAGAAAGGAGTATAGTCCTGATATGTGCTACAACATGGATAAACCTAGAAAAGTTTATGCTAAGAAAGAAGCCAGCCATAAAAGATCGCATGATGATTCTGTCTATATGCAATATCCAGAATAGGCAAATCCATAGAGACAGAAAGTAACTTAGTGGTTGCCAGGGCCTGAGGGGAGCAGAGAAGGGAGAGTGACTGCTGATGCGTGCAGGAGGCTTTTTGGACTGCTGAAAATATTCTGGAGTTAGTAGTGATGGTGGCACAACTTTGTGAATGGGCTAAAAGCCACTGAATCATGTATTTGACAGGGTGAGTTTTACAGTATGTGAATTATGTCTCCATAATGAAAAGAGTATTTATAATGTGAAGCCCTGTTGGACTCCATGACTCAATTCTGAATATATGATGGAAGACTATGGCTCTGGTAGTGTCTGCAGAGGTTCTGAGCTTGGATCTTGGAGAGAGAGAAGGAAGAGTTTCCGAGAATGAAGGAGGTAGAATTATTGTGTGTCCGGGGCCTGCCTGAAGTGGAGGAGTTAGAACGATAATGTGGAGTACCTTAAAGTGAGGCTGTCGTTGTCCACTTACCCGAGAGTCAGGAGGAGCTCCTTAAGCAGTGCTGTGATGAAGGGGTGTCTCGGGAAAGTGAGTTCGGTAGTGATATCCAGGCCAGTAAGAGTGGGGAGGACACTGGAAGCCAGGAGGCCAGTGAAGAGACTGGTTTTCAGTAGACATTTGTCAGGCTCTTGAGAGCTTTCCACTTGTGTTGAAGTCAGAAGAGAAAGATGGCCTTCTGGTAACTGTGACGGTGTACCGAACATCAGGAGAGAAGGAAGGCAGGGGGTGCGTGCCCTCAGAAAGGAAAAGTAACCTGGATTCCTACTTTTTATGCATGTGTTTTTTTAATGGTGTTTTCTCTTATTTTCATGTGTATTTTATCTGTTTTAGCTTGAGTTACTATAGACTGATGAAGAAAATAGTAACACCTATTTTATGAGGTTGTTTTAAGGATTAGTTTAATAGCGCAGATGCTCGTTAAAGTGCATCAAGCAATACCTGACACATAGTAGGTGCTCAGTAAGTGCAACTA